CATTCCCTTCTCAAATTATTCCATAAAACTGAAGAGGATGGAATGTTTCCATACTCATTTTACAAGGCCACCATAACCCTGAAACCAGACAAAGGCACTAACAAAAAAATTACAGGCCAATATCCCTGATAAACACAGATACAAAACTCCTCAACAAATGATTAGCAAAACGAATTCAACACTACATTAAAATGAATATACACCATAATCAAGTGGGATTTATTCTACAGACACAAGATGGTTTAACATCTGTAAATCAAACAAGATACATCACATTAACAAAATGAAGGATGAAAATCTTATGATTGGGCAGGAAGCCTGGGTGGCTCAGTTTGTTAAACATCTGACTTTTGATTTCAGCTCAGGTTATAACCACACAGTTCTGAGATTGAGCCCGCATCAGGGTCCATGCCCAGCCTGGAACCTGTTTAAGATGCTCTCTCCCTCTCCCTCTGTCCTTCCCCTCTCACACATACACTCTCTCACACTTTCTAAAAAAAAAAGAAAGAAAGAAAACATCATATGATCGATCATCTCAATAGATGCAGAAAAAAACATCTGACAAAATTCATCATCCATTAATGATAAAAACTCTCAACACAGTGGGTAACATACCTCAACAAAATAAAAGCCATAGAAGACCAAACCTTTGCAAATATCACACTCAACAGTGAAAAGCTGAAAGACTGCCCTCTAAGATGGAGGAAGTCCTAGCCAGGGCAATTAGGCAAGGAGGGGAAAAAAATGTGGCATTCAAACTGGAAAGCAGCAGCAAAACTGTCATTAAGTGTAGATGACCTGATATTGTATCCAGAAAATCCTAAAGACTCCACCAAAAAACTATTAAAACCAATCAATGAACTCAGTAAAGTTGTATGATAATATAAAGAAATGTGTTGTTTGTATATATTAGTAACAACTATCTGAAAGAGTTATTAAGAAAACAAATCTATTTACAACTGCATAAAAAAACAAATCAAAACCCTAGGAATAAAGGCTTAGGAATAAAATTTACCAATGAGGGGAAAAACTTGTACAGTGAAAATTACAAGACACTGATGAAAGCAACTGAATACAAATAAATGGAAAGATGTACCATGCTCATGAATCAGAAGAATTAGTATTATTAAAATGTCCATACTACCCAAAGCAATCTACAGATTCAATGCAATCTCTATCAAAACCCCAACAGTATTTTTCACAGAACCAGAATACCACTACTATAAAATAGTACTAAAATTCCTACGTAACCAGAAAAGGCCCCAATTCGCAAAAGCAATTGTGAAAAAGAACAAAACTGTACATATCATGTTCCCTAATTTTAAACTGTACACAAACTATAATAATCAAAACAGTTTGGTAGTACAAAAACCATACACACAGATCATCTTAACACAATAGGGAGTCCAGAAATAAATGCATGCTTTACGGTCAATTAATCTACAACAAAGAAGGCAAGAATATACAATGTGGAAAGGACAGTCTCTTCAATAAATGGAAAACTGGACAGCTACATGTACAAAAACGAACCTGGACTATCTTCTTACACCATACACAAAAATAAACTCAAAATGGATTAAACGCTTAAATTAAGACCCGAACCCATAAAATTCTTGAAAGAAAACAATTAGTAAACTATTTGGTATCAATCTCGGCAGTATTTTTTCGATCTATCTTCCCAGGCAAGGACTGCAAAAGCAAAAATAAACAAATGAGATGACACCAAAGAGGACACCTTCTTCATAGCAAAGAAATCAATAGAACTAAACAGCAACCTACTGAAGGTATGGTTGAAAGGATATTATCAATAAGGGTTTAACATCCAAAATATATAAAGGACTCATTCAACTCAGTATCCAAAAAAATCGTATTAAAAAGGCAGAGGACCGGGGCACCTGGGTGGCGCAGTCGGTTAAGCGTCCGACTTCAGCCAGGTCATGATCTCGCGGTCCGGGAGTTCGAGCCCCACGTCAGGCTCTGGGCTGATGGCTCAGAGCCTGGAGCCTGTTTCCGATTCTGTGCCTCCCTCTCTCTCTGCCCCTCCCCCGTTCATGCTCTGTCTCTCTCTGTCCCAAAAATAAATAAACGTTGGAAAAAAAAAAAAAAGGCAGAGGACCTACATAGACATTTCTTCAAAGAAGACCTACAGATGGTCAACAGGCACATGAAAAGATGTTCAGTATCACTCATCATCAGTGAAATACAAATCTAAACCACAATGAGATAACATCTCATACCTGTCAGAATGGCTATTATCAAAAAGACAAGAAATAAAAAATGTTGGCAACAATGTGGAGAAAAGGGAACCCTCGTGCACTGTTGGTGGAAACATAAATTGGTGCAGAAACTGTGGAAAACATTATGAAGGGTCCTCAAAAAATTAAAAATAGGAACTACCATATGATCCAGTAATACCACTTCTGGCTATTTACCCAAAGGAAAAAACCCACTAATTTGAAAAAACACACGCACCCCTATGTTCACTGCAGCATTACTTATAATAACCAAGATAAGGAAGCAACCTATCGGGGGACACTGATAGATGAATGGATAAAAAAAGATGTGGAGAGATTGTGTGTATACACATATATATAAACAAATAATGGAATATTATTCAGACATAATAAAGAATGAAGTCTGGCCATTTGCAACAACATGAGTGGATCTAGAGGGTTTAATGCTAAGTGAAATAAGCCAGACAGAGAAAGGTAAATACCCTACGATTTTACTTATATGTGAAATCTAAAAAGCAAAGCACACAGCTTTTCAATGTCTTGCTCTTAATATGATCAACCAAGAACCATCCTGCATTTGAGGAAAACCACCATAAGCAAGAGACTAAGAAAAACGAATAAAAAATTACGCTGGAGGAAACAGAGATAATTTAAGACCCTTTTTTTTTTAACTTTTCATTTTTATTTAAGATGATAATACATCCATAAAACAAGAAAAAATATGAAAAAAAGGAAAACTACAGAATCAAAAAGATTCCCTGGAAATTAAAAAATGATGGCAGAAACAAAAATTCGATACCAAATACAAAATAAAATTGAGGGCATTTCTAAGAAAACGTATCAAAAAAGGAAAACAGATAGAAAATGGGAGAAAAAATAAAGCAACTTAAGTGGATGTATACAGGATGTCCAAAATCTGACTAATAAGAATTTCAGAAAGAGAAAATAAAACAAAATGAAAGGGATTAATGAAGAAAAATGTAAGAGTCTACACATTCAAAGGTCCATTTACTGTTTTAGCACAATGAATGGAAAAGACCCATACGAACCCTTACTATGAAATTTCAGAACTCCAAAGCTAAAGAAAAAGCCCAAAAGTTTCCCAAGAAAAAAGTTTAAAAGTTATCCAAAAGGACACAGAACTACATCAGGTTTCTCACCAGTAGCACGAAACACTAGAAAACAATGAATCAATGCCTTCAGTATTTTTAGGGAAAAATAGGTTCAACCTAGATTTTTATATTTACCCACACTATCAATCAAATGTGACAAGAGAATAAATACATTTTCACAATGCAAGGATTCAGAAAAATCACCTCCTATAGTGGTAAGGAAGATGAGGTGTCTGGTAAATTAAAAAACAGCTCCCCTAAAGATGTCCACATCCTAATTCCTGGAATATGTTACCTGACAGCTGTAGATGTGATTAATTCAAAGATTTTCAGATACAAACATTATCCTGTACTATGTGAGTGGGCCCAGTATAATCACAAGAATACTTGTAAGAGAGACACAAAAGGTGATGTGACAATGGAAACAGAAAGACTGGAAGATCTTACACTACTAGTTTTGAAGATAAAAGGATGACGTCAGGAGTCGAGTCAAGGTATGCAGGTAGCATTAAGAAGCTAGAAAATACAAAGGAAAGAGATTCTCCCCTATAGTATCTGGAGGAATGCAACCTTGCTAATTCCTTCATTTTAGGACTTCTGATCTCTAGAACTATAAGAATAAATGTTCATTATTTAAGCCACTAAGTGTATGCTAATTTCTTACAGCAGCCATAGTAAACCAATACAAAACACCACGTAGAAACAGAGACCACTTAAGAACCAAGACAGGCAAAGGCAAAGCACACCAACAATCAGCAGAACCCACACTATGAGACAACCATCTTGAATATTCCAGCCCAGTCCCGGCATCAGCTGAATGAAGCTGCATAAGTGCCCCAGCTGATACAACATGGGGTAGAACTGCCTAGTCAATACAAAAAAACATAATGATAACGATGACGACGATGATGATGGTATGGTATGTGAGAGTAAGAGGCACCAGATTTACCATCCCACCTGAAACAAAAGTGGACAACCCATGTGAACTAGTGATTTCCACACACTGGACATGAAGGAGCACAGAACAGTAATCCCTGAAACAGGGGACGCAAATGATGCAAGCCCTATTAACTGTCCCAGCTTACTGTCTGGAGAATTTCTAGACTATGATGCAGAGTGGGGCAGGGTACCCAGACGAAGCTTGAATACAGTTTAAAGGCATAAAATGGGAGTGATGGGAGACAGCTCTCTAGAAAGCTATGTGATAAATCCATTATTTGGGAATGCCCCCACCATCCAACCTCCTCTTAAACCAGAACACAGTCCAGAGCCTTACAACACCTTTCAGAAGACTTGTTCTGGCATCAGCACTACCTACACCTATTCCAATGGTCTCCTTTCTTGACCGGTTGTTTACTGTATCTATCTCACTGTCTCATATGACACCCCTTCTTTTATGCCTATCATTGCATAAATCACAACATGTAGTAGTTTAAAATCAATGTGAAAACATTTGGAAAGAAATCAAGATATCTGCAAACAGGGATTTACAAAAGACTAGGACCATTATGTAAGAGCAGTAGTTGGCCCGGGCATGTGCTTCAGAGTAAGTGGTAAGTGCAAATGTGGCACAATTACATAACGACAAACAGTGCAGCCTGAAGAGCTGTCACAGAGTACCACCTACAGGACACAAATGGGAAAACAGCCCTACCTTTGCTCTATCAGACCAACCAAAGGACTGCACTGTCACATCTAATCGTTTCATCAACATCCGCCGGCGGCATTCATATTCACAGGAAAGAGCTTCATTGATTCTTTCTAGTTGTTCCTAAAGAATTCAGAAACAAAAATCATAAACTTTACACTCTGTATACACAGAAATTTGAAAACTGTGGTCAATACCTCCTGATTCAAAAGATATTGTACCTGGTAACCATTTTCTGATCCCATGAGACTTTATGGTAAATTTTTTGAATAATAAAGAGTATCTGAGAGAACATTTATGATATTCAGAAATACTAACCATATGAATTAAACTCTACAACTGGGAGACTTTACCTCATCTTCAATCAAGCGTTTTAAGTAAAACATCTACTTGCTAAGTGGTCTGGACCAATAAGGAAAGAAAATGCCAAAAATTTCCACCTTGTTGGCTTTTGAGCTACTATCTTTTTCTAATCACAACTATGCTAACATACTGGGTGCTATCTATACTCTTGGACAATTAATAATCTGAAATGTCAGAACCTATTACTCTAGGATGTCAATCCATTTTAATTCTCTAAAGTAATAAAGGTATGCTACCCATTGTAAAATCTAGGTGTCCACTAATAAAATTAAGTCATATTCACTAATTGAATTACATAAAACGAATAAAGCAAGGTATTTTACCGCCTGTTCCAGATTTAAATCAATTTTCAGCAGTGGTTTTCCCACATGATTTTTCTGGACTTTTGAGAGAATATCCTTCACCTAAAAGTAAATATAAAAGATTATGAAAAAGTATATCCCTAATTTAAAACAACATTATCCTTAAAATGCTGTTTTGAATGCTGAAGAATAAGTGAAATGTTCAAGTAAAATAAATGAAATATACCTTCACATACTAGGAAAGAATATCAGCACAGTGCAGAGTATCTTCTTTTCCAGAATAAGAAATAATGTATATAGACGACTAAAGAAGTAGCTACTGAAAGGTTTTACTATGAGAATCTGTGTGGCCTTATGTGAAATAATTTGGGGAGCTTCTCCTTGAAATGGCACACTCTTATGCATGCTTCTGTATACATGCCAAGTGCAAGCATTCTGGTTTCATTGTTCAGCAAAACGCAATAGATCAAGTCCTCTAAATTATAGTCACCACATACACATTTCATGACTTTTGCAAAGCCACTAATTTGAATTACTTGCAACACTTTTGTTTTAGTAAAGAAGTTATTAGACATTTGTTTTTGCTCTAGCAATATCAGCCATTCCAATAACAGTAATTTATCCCGAACAAAACGACTGAGAAATGATAGCCTAAGTTGGGCTCACCCTAACTGAAGAAATTTTCATTATCTAAAAACAATTTCAAAACAGAATGATATATCTACAGTTTCTTAGTTATAAGGTACAATCAAGACAGTTCAGATTTTGAGGAATATCAAGCTTATTTAATGTTAAGGGCATTCTTTAAGAAAAAGTTAAAAACCGTGAACACAAAATTAACTTGGAAACTGCTGGTAATGATGGGGAGTGACTGTAAATGGACAGAAGGTTTCTTTGGAGGCTGATGGAAATGTTTTAAAATTAGATTTTGATGATGGTTGTACTCTCTAAATAAAATGCATTTAATTATCTATTTTAAGCGAGTGAACTTTATGACATGTAAACTCTACATTGAGAAAGCTATTTTTTAAAAAATTAGCTTAGAAAGGCTTGTACAAATGAGAGGCCCCAAAGCTTAAGCTCTATTAGCTTCGTGGCAAATCTACTCTACAACAATACAATTCTTACTTATTATAAAGAATTAACTTATTTTCTTAAGATACTCAACTTCTGCAGATTTCCCAACTATTGCAACCACCTCCAATTTTGATTATTTCATATGTTACTAAAAGTCTGAGTTATAACTCCTCACTCGAGAGGGATTCTGAATGTTTACCTATAACTTCTTACATGTAATCATGCTCAGTTCCATTCCCAGGATTTCAACATTGGACAACAGTTTCAGTAAGTTTGAGAGTTCAACTCAAATAGAGAGGAAGTTTAAGAGCACAGACTCTGGAGGTTGCCTGTATTTAAACTTCAGGTCTGCCACTACTACTTAGAAACTTGCTTGCCCAATTTATTCCATCTTTCAGCACCTCACTTTCCTCATATGGCTGTTGTAGATAATAGCAACTACCTCATTATATGTGACGTGAGAATTAAATGAATTATTATATGTAAACATTTACAACAGTAAATGTATATGTTTGCCATTAATATTACTATAATTTCTTTAGAGTCACACTTGAACAGCTTCAAGTTAGAAAACACTAATTTTCTTTCCCAATGGTGACAAAGCATATTCAATAAGGAATGGAGAACAAAGTCCTTTTAGGAAAATATTTGGCCACAATGGCCACAGTAGCAAGTACCTTCAGATTAGCCTGCCAGCACTTGAACGTAGGCATTATGCATAGCCTACTTCAAGTAGAGAAACAACAGGTTCAGGGATATTTTTAATTGTAACTGAGACCCATAAAAAAGAAAAGCCTTTTGGGGATCAATATGTAGAAGCACAGGAAGATTAGAAAAAGCCTAGATATCTGTCTCAAGGTGAAATTATCCCAGACATTTTAGCCAACCCTAGATCATTCTTAATCCAGAGGAAAAGAGAAAAGCATTGAAGAGTAACTTGTTAACTCCATAACACTTTTGAGTGATTCAAAAAGAGTTATTCTTTGGTCTGCAGGTTCCACAAAAAGAAAAAATGTTTTTAAAATTGTGTTTTCATCTTAATGACACCAAAATTCTGTTATGTTCAATTAAGACAAATCTTTTTATCTTTTCAGTTCCTAAATTATCAATGCAGGAATATTTTATCCAAGAATTTAGTATAACACAGCATGTATAAAAATGGAGCTTTAACCTGTTCTTGAGAGTAAGAACATTCTTTTCCTTTAAAATGAATCCTGTGTTATTCCCCTTGAGGAATCCTAGGAAATAGGCTGGAATTTGGACTGCAAGGGTAGCATTCTCTCTAATATGTGGCTCAACAGGGAAGAAGAGTAGTTTAATAATTGAAGAGAAAATTTCACAAAGTTTGAGGTACACAGCTTGTGGTTGTTTTTAACTACATCAGGACACTTATTCATTCATTTATTTTCTATACAACAAACATTTCCTAAACACCTATCCACCAGAAATTGTGATTGCTCACTGCCAAAGACAACTACATTACAATTCTATTAACAATATCCATTTTTTTAAAAATGTAGTTTGCCTTCAACTTTGGATTACTCTACTTCTTTCATTATACTACATTCTAACGTTACTTGGGAAAGGGATCCTTTAACTTGCAAAGTGATTTCTACCACAGAATACTCTTGCAAAGCCTAAAGGCCCTCACTCATTAAGATCTGATTCCTGAATATTAGCTATTGGCAAATTAAGTCACATACGCATATGAACTCAGAATCCAAAATTTACTTTACAGGAAGATAAACTTCTCTTGAAATGGAATGCATCTTAAAGGAAATATTTTCATTTTCAGTACATTTACATGTTAGCATTTAGTTCCATTTTTGGGAAATGAAAAATAAATACGATACCTTTGATTCCACTTGGTTTAGCATAAGCGGAATGTCAGAAGTTGCTGACTTGGGTACACCAAGAGTATCACAGATAGCTTCAACTTCTTGATAAATTTCACTGTTTTTATCTAATTGAGAATTTTTACGTTTCTTATTCTGTAGTATCTGTAAAGCTTGAAGCTCTGTACTTAAAAACACTATAATAAAAAAAGGAAAAATGAATAATGTTAAAACATGCAAGAACTGGGGCGCCTGGGTGGCGCAGTCGGTTAAGCGTCCGACTTCAGCCAGGTCACGATCTCGCGGTCCGTGAGTTTGAGCCCCGCGTCGGGCTCTGGGCTGATGGCTCGGAGCCTGGAGCCTGTTTCCGATTCTGTGCCTCCCTCTCTCTCTGCCCCTCCCCCGTTCATGCTCTGTCTCTCTCTGTCCCAAAAATAAATAAACGTTGAAAAAAAAAAAATTAAAAAAAAAAAAATGCAAGAACTTCTTAAAAATCCCACTTTTAGGTATATATCCAAAGGAACTGAAATCAGGATCTCAAAGAGATTTGCACTGCCCTGTTCTCTGCAGTACTGTTCACAATAGCCAAGATATGGTAACAATTTAAGTGCCCTTCAACAGATGAATAAAGAAAATGTGGTATATACATACAATGGAATATTACTCAGCCTTAAAAAAAAAAAGGAAATCCAGCCATTTGCGACCACACAGATGAAACTGAAGGACACTAGGCAAAGGGAAATAAGCCAAACACAGAAGGACAAATAGTATGCAATATCACTTTTCTGAGCAATCTAACACAGTCAAATTCATAAAGCAGAGAGTAGAATGGTGGTGGCCAGGGGCTGGGGGAGGGGAAAAACTAGAAGTTATCAAATATAAATTTCTGAAAAACAGGTGATCTGTTTTAATGAAGCTTTCAAATCAGAAGGACTTGGCAGAGTCCTCACAAGCAAAGTCTGATAAATTTTGGTCAATTATACAAGATGATTTAGTCCCAGAGACCAACTTTATAGGAAAGTGACTAATTAACAATAATACTGTATCATATACTTAAAAATTTGCTAAGGGGATGCCTGGGTGGCTTAGTCGGTTAAGCTTCTGACTTCAGCTCAAGTCATGATGTCACAGTTCTGGAGTTCGAGCCCTGCATCGGATCCTGCACTGACAGCTCAGAGCCTGAAGCCTGCTTCAGATTCTGTGTGTCTCTCTCTCTGCCCCTCCCCTGCTCATCCTCTCTCAAAAATAATCATTAAAAAAAAAAATTTTTTTTTTAATTTGCTAAGAGGGTAGACCATTATGTTAAGTATTCTTATCACAAAGACAAATTAAAGAGGGCAGGAGGAAACTTTTAAAAAATGGGATAGTACCTACTGCAGAATTTAAAGTCTAGTAGGAGAGACCTACCAGCAGTAAATCAACAATTTAAGAACGTATAAGTGTAAAAGTGAAAATATTTTCTCATATGAACAGAGTGCTCAACCCAGGGGAGAATGTTAGCTCTAACCGACCTATAAGCTGACAGAGTGGTTTGAATAACCATTGGCCTTTAGAATAGACCACCCCCCGCTGTTCACAAGTCCCTTCACTGCCATGTCATTTAATCCTTTCAATAGCCATATTTAAGCAAATTACTTAAAACTCTTACATGATTACAGTTTTGTTTTAAATTCTATAGTGTTTAAAATACTGAATTTTGTTTTTGTTTAAAGTCACGAGCACACAGGGGTACCTAGGTGGCTCAGTCAGTGAAGCATCTGACTTCAGCTCAGGTCATGATCTCGCGGTCTGTGGGTTTGAGCCCCGCATCAGGCTCTGAGCTGTCAGCACAGCTGACATCCAAGCCTGCTTAGGATTCTGTCTCCCTCTTTCTATGCCCCTCCCCCACTCACGTTCTGGCTCTGTCTCTGTCTCTGTCTCTCAAAAATAAATGCTAAAAAATTTTTTAAATAAATAAAGTTATGCACACATACTACCTACACACCCCACAATACAGTAGTTTCAACTTCACCTGAGAAATATCTGAGAAACTGTTTAAAAGTAGTTTTACTGCACTTCACTTTACTACACTTCACAAATGATTGCGTTTTTACAAATTGAGGGTTTGTGGCAACCCTATGCTGAACAAGTCTATCAGTGCCATTGCCATTTTTCCAACATTGGTCACTTTGTATCCCTGCGTCACATTTTGGTTTTTTTTTTTTTAAGCTTATTATTTATTTGGGTGGGGGGTGAAGGGAAAGACAGAGGGAGGGAGGGAGAAGGAGGGGGCATGGGCACAGGAGGGGCCAGAGAGGGAAGGAGAAAAAGAATCCCAAGCGGGCTTGGCACTGACAGCGCGGAGCTTACTCTCATGAACTGAACTGTGAGATCATGACCTGAGCCAAAATTAAGAGTTGGACGCTTAACTGAGCTACCAAGGCGTCCGTCCCCGCTCATTTTGGTAATTTTTGAAGGAGATTAAAAAAAGTGCTACTCCAGTGAACACACGAATAAGAAGGTGCAACAGCCTGACTGCTGATATGGAGAAAATTTTAGTGGTGTGAATAGAAGATCAAATCCAGCTACAACATTCCTTAAGCCAATCTAATCCAGAGCAAGGCCCTAATGCCCTTCAATTCTATGAAGGCTAACAAAGGTGAAGAATCTGCAGAAAAGAAGTTTAAATTTGAAGCTAGCAGAGGTTGATTCATGAAGTTTAAGGAAAAAAGGTGTCTCCACAGCATGAAGTACAAGGTGAAGCAACAAGTGTGATATAGAAGTTGCAGGAAGCTACCCTGGATATCTATCCAGAAGACGTAGCTAAGACAATTAATGAAGGTGGCTACACTAAACAACAGATTTTCAGTGCAGATGAAACAGCCTTCTATTGAAAGATGCTATGTAGGATTTTTCATAGTTAGAGAGAAATCAATACCTGGCTTCAAAGGACAGGCTGATCCTCTTGTTAGGGGCTAATGCAGTTGGGGACTTGAATCCAATGCTCATTTACCACTGTAACAATTGTAGGACCCTTAAGAACTATGCTACACCTACTGTGCCCGTGCTGTATGAATAGAACAAAACCTGGGTGAAAGCACATCCATTTACAACATGGTTTATTGACTATTTTAAGCCCACTGTTGAGACCTACTATTCAAAAGAAAAGATTTCCTTCAAAATACGACTGCTCATGGACAATGCACCCAAGGGCTCTTGTAGAAATGTACAATGAGAGGGGCGCCTGGGTGGCGCAGTCGGTTAAGCGTCCGACTTCAGCCAGGTCACGATCTCGCGCTCCGTGAGTTCGAGCCCCGCGTCAGGCTCTGGGCTGATGGCTCAGAGCCTGGAGCCTGTTTCCGATTCTGTGTCTCCCTCTCTCTCTGCCCCTCCCCTGTTCATGCTCTGTCTCTCTCTGTCCCAAAAATAAATAAAAACGTTGAAAAAAAAAAAATTTTAAAAAAGAAATGTACAATGAGATTAATGCTGTTTTCATGTCTGCTGACACAATATCCATTCTGCAGCCCACAGATCAAGGAGTAATTGTGACTTTTAAGTCTTACTATTTATGAAATATAATCCTTAAGGCTACAGCTGCCATAGTGATTCCTCTGATGATCCAGGCAAAGTAAATTGAAAACCTTCTGGAAAGGATTCGTTACTCTAGATGTCATTAAGAACATTTATGATTCAAGGAAAGAGATCAAAATACCAACATTAACGGGAGTCTGGAAAAAGGTGACTCTGAACCTCATGGATGGCTTTGAAGGCTGAAGACTGCAGATGTCGTGGGAACAGCAAGGGAACTAGAAGCAGAACTGAAGATGTGACTGAACTGCTACAATCTCATGACAAACCGCAACAGATGACGAGATGGATAAGAAAATGATAACTTGAGATGGAATCTTCCCATGGTGAAATACTGTGAAGATTGTTGAAATGACAACAAGAGATTTAGAATATTCCATAAATTTAGTTGATAAAGCAGCAGGGTTTGAGAAGATGGACTCCAATTTTGAAAGAAGTTCTACTGTGGGTAAAATGCTATCAAACAGCATCGCATTTTATAGAGAAAATGTTTGTAAAAGAGTCCACTCATGCAGCACACTTCGCTGTTGCCTTGTTTTAAGCAATTGCCACAGCCACCCCAACCCTGAGCAACCACCAACATGATCGATCAGAGGCCATTGGCATATAGAGTCAAGACCCTCTAGCAGCAAAAGATTACAACTTACTGAAAGTTGAATGATGGCTGGCATTTTTTTGGAATAAAGTATTTTTTAATTAATGTTCATTGGGTTTTTTTCAGACATAATGCTACTGCACACTTAAAAAAACTGCAGTATACTATAAATGTAACTTTTATATTTACTGGGGTAACCCAATATATATTACTGGGAAACCAAAAAATTAATTTGATGTGCTTTACTGTGATATTCACTTTACTGCAGTGGTCTGGAAATGAACACACACCATCTCCCACCCTCAAAGATTCTGAACCAGTAGGAGTTAAGTATGCGTATGATGTTAGACCCAAGGTGATTCTCATGGGCAGGCAGGATTGAGAGCCACTGATTTAAAGACTTTTCCCTGCAATCTACACATGATAGTCTAAGGAGCTCACAAAAAGTTAAGACAGTATGTATCAAACTGTACTTATGAAGACTATGCCAAGGTCCCTCTGATTTCAAAACTTCATTCAAACAGATCACCAGTTCTTCAAAAATGTGTACTCTGGACAGAATCTAAGCTGGTCTGCCTTTGTTCTCTGGGAACGTGCTCTATGTAATACTACAAACAAGAGTTCAGTCTAGTATTTAAAAGGCTAATCCATGCAGATGGTAAACAATACAGTGAAAAGTCTTCTTCCCACCACAGATCTTCAGATTCCCCTTCTCCAAAGGCAATCAACATTAATGTCTGGGATATCATTTTAGGCATATGTGTATGTACATTAAGAATGCATATCTACCATCCACATGCTTTTGTTTCTTTTATATAAACGAGTGTACTGCACATATCCGTATATATTTTTAAAACTTACCAATACATCTCAGAAATCATTCCTTATAATCACATTTGATCTATTTTCAATCTAATGGCTATATAGTGGCATCACTGCAAAGATATACCATTTCTATTTAACTACTATGAATAATGCCATAATGAACACCCTTTTCATATATCTGTGTACACTTAGGGAGATAAATATGTATTCCTAGTTACGGGATTTCTGAGTTAAAAGGTAGGTGAATTTTAATTGTGATATTGAGAATTTGCCCTCAAATAATTAAGTGAAATAAAATATATAAAATAAATAAAATAAAAAACTGTTCTAAGTTATTCTCTCACATTTTAATGCCTAACAGTATATGAGGATGCATATTCCCCCAAATTTGTATCATCACATTTTTTTTACTTTTTGTTATTTACTTGTCTGTTAAGTGAAAAATGGTATCCTGTCATTTTATTTTTGTAACTCTTTGAGTGATACATCTTTTCATGATTAGAAGCAATTTTTTAAAAACTTTTTTCTGTGGAGTGCCAGTTCATTTATTTCGTACTTTACGCATTTTTCCACTGAGCTTTTATCTTTTTCTTCTGGATTTATGAAAGCTCTTCACATACTAAGGACTTTGGCCCTTTATGTTTTATACATGTTGCAAACACCGCAAGAAAAGTATGAAGAGACTTACTGCATCATTACGTTTTAAACACAGAGTCAAGACAAAGACAGAAGAGATGGTGGTAAGACTGTGAACTGGTGTAACAACTCTGGAACAAAATATGGTAATATATACCTAGAGTTTATTTTTAAATGTTTATAATCTTTAAGTAAAAGTAGCCAAAAACATGAACAATGAATTAAAAATAGAAAAGAATCTAAACACCCATTGTACAAAAATGTTATGTCCATAGCATAGAATGCTCTGTAGCCATTTATTCTTTCCAAAAAAATATTAAGTGATGGGGAAATGCTCACAATACATTAAATGAGAAGGAGGAAGACAAGGAGCTGCATCTACAATAGGCTCTTAATCTTACTTACATGTGTGTGTACAAAGGAAAAAGAGAAGGAAAAGAAAATAACACCAAAAACAATTGATGATTCTGAGGAGTGAGATTATCAATGATTTTCTTCTTAACAATTCTCTATACTTTGTAAGAATTCTATGATGAACATATAATTTTAAACACACAACATAAAATTTACCATGCCATTTATAAACATACAACAGCATTAAGTATATTTGCACTGGTAGGCAACCATCACCCAACTCAAAAACATTTTTATCTTCCCTAACTGATACTGTACCTGTTTAACACTAATTCTGTTTTGCCCCATCTTCCAGGCATACATTTTCATCATCAGAAAAAATTATACCAATTTCTCTTTTACCTCCTTATTTTTACTTGTACCAGAAACCTGTATTGCTATTATTGTTCAGATTTTCAGCAGATAAGGCAAAAAGGGAAACACAATGGAGCACACAGTTCTCACTGATAGAGCGCCCATGTTCCTCTGGGCCAAGGCTTCTCAGCTCCCTTTCTGTCCCCAAGGGTTACTGTGCTCTCCCATCACTAACAATGGTTCCTTAAATCAGTGACTCCTACTGAATGGGAGGAAGATGGGGAAACAGTATAAGAAAAGGGTGTTGGGAGGCGGGGGGAGGGGGGAGAACGACATAATTTTTATCCCCTGCAACCCATACAAGGCAATTCAAATGTCAACACTTCTATCACCACCACTTAACACTTATGATTTCTGCGCAAATTAAACAAACACTACAGCCTATGAGGAATATATCACATGGAGTTTTTTATAAATGGTACAACCTGAAATAACAGAAATCTTCAATAACAGATGCTAGAAAAATTCTTTCAAATGACCACTGTCTGTAGAACTTTGAAAACAGCATGAAATTAACTGAATTTTAAAAATGTTTAAAGGACCCCAATACAAATAAATGGATTAGTTGTGGTAATTGTTTGGATACAGGGTAATCTATATTCCAAACTCACCCCTGACAAAAACAGGTCACACTCACTAGAATTCAAATGGCCAGAGGGCACAATCGTTTTAAAAACTGATATAACCCTAGTGCCTAGAGCAGTTTCCAGTTTAATAATAGATCAGTAAATATTTTTGAACCAACTCTCATTCAATGCCTAGCACTAAAAACAAGATCTAATAATGCACTTAACTGCCTAGTTTCAGAGTTTTTTGTTTTTTTTTTTTAATTTTTTTTCAACGTTTTTTATTTATTTTGGGGACAGAGAGAGACAGAGCATGAACGGGGGAGGGGCAGAGAGAGAGGGAGACACAGAATCGGAAACAGGCTCCAGGCTCTGAGCCATCAGCCCAGAGCCCGACGCGGGGCTCGAACTCACGGACCGCGAGATCGTGACCTGGCTGAAGTCGGACGCTTAACCGACTGCGCCACCCAGGCGCCCCCAGAGTTTAAAGAATAAACAGGGCTCTAAATGACCAACCTATTCATTTAGGTATAAATGCTGAGTGATGAATTACATGAAGAAAAAACTACTAAAACAGTATGTAAATCACAAACACAGCATTCTACAATGGCCAAATAAATCTTAAGTGTTAGAAATCTCAGCACATTAGAATTTATACATTTATGTAAGTATTGCTAAGTCAGCTTCATATTTTAAGTCAAATATTAAAATCTTTTTAACATACAAAATGTCCAAAACTTCATTAATCAAATTTCTAAATCTTGAACGTAACAAAAACCACATCAAACACATGAGTTTAAATGTTCAAAGAAAGATAACTTACATAGAAGCTTCAAACAGTCATCCTTCTTTTTTAAACGGTCCTTAATATCTCCTGATATGAGTACAGAATACGGACATGCCATTTCTTTTAAAAACCCACTTATCTCAAGCTGGAAGCTTTCTAGATCATCTCTCCCTTTAAAAAAGAAAAACCATAAAACACTTACCGAACATTTTATCATATAATCTGAAACTATAAAATCTACCGCTAGTTGATTTCAATTTTATACTTAATTAAAAATTTTCAATTTGACGTAAAATCCTTACATGTGTGACACCCCCATGCTTAGGTATAGATAATCAATTTCTACATAAAAAAGGTACACTTAAATTTAAGAACTTAAGTATCTAATCATGACATAAGTATTTTTATATTTCAATCCCTGTTTTCCAATGGACTTTCCACAAAAGCAGATAAACTGGAACTATTTTACGTCAGTAAATGAAATACTGAAAGTGTTACTGTGACTATAATAACTGGCTTCACAGCAAATGATGTATTTCTATTGTATTTCTATGGATTCAGATAAAAAATGCAATCATTTGAGCTTCACTGCTTATCTTTCTTTCATAATCTAATGATGTATGAATTTGTGCCACATTTTTTCAATTCAGCTAATTTTACTTTGCTTCAAGGGAATTCTACTGGATTTGTCAAGAAAGGAAAACAATTTAAAAGGACAGCTCCAGAAGAGAAGGTTACTTTGTACCCTATCAAGTGCTCAATTTTTTATTTTTCATTTTAATTTGCTATCTGAAATTCCACCAAAGAGCCACAAGGACTCCAGTTACCAAGACAGTAACAAATTAAACAAACATTTCTGATCTAGCACAGGAGTTTTTTAGAGAAGTATTTCTACGTGAATCCATGTCCTGAATTACAGGCATGGTAATTCAATTTAAATTAGGAATTACATGTACCTTAACAACAAAAACAAAACCTAAATTCAAAGTAAGCAATATTCAAAAATTTAACCTTTTAAATAATCAAATTCAGACTCTACTTTCTCTGAAGAATGATACTAAGGTTAAGATCGTAAACAGTTGTTGTTTATAATCTTATATAAATTTAAGAACCAATTTTGAATTACTATAAAATTTAACCCAAAGGTATTCAGTTTCACATACTGCAGTTCTTCATAATGTTACTGATTTTTCTTTGCGGGCACATTGCAGGTAAAACTATAAATCATAAGCCATCATTTCATTTTACTACCACAGAAAAACAAAATACAATGGCAATACCAGCTGAAGTGATACTTTCTTCCAAGTTGCACAATGATTTTATCTGAGAGCCTAACCAAACACAGAGCTCTGAAAATTCAGGCGAAGACAGTCCACCCTCTGCTGCCTTGGTAAGGGCTTGCTCTTCTAACAGTGGTCCCTTGTACCTAGAAAGAAAGACGTAAAAGGTGTAAAAAAAAAAAAAAAAAAAAACCAAACTGGTAGCACTCTATATATCAAGGCCTGGGGCCTATTTTTATAAATAAAGTTTTACTGGAACATAGCCAATAAATGTATCCATTTACAAACTATCTCTGGCTGCTTTCATGTTGCAACTGCAGAGTTGATAGTATGGTCAGCAAAGCCTAAAATTACTATTAGGTCTGTTATAGACATGGTTTGCCAATTTCTGCCCTATTTAATTGGCATTTGACTTTTTGTCAACATTTTATCATGTTTTAGTAACATTATTAACCAATTTTAAGATAAATATTACAACTAACACAAAGTCAAATAGAGCAGTCTAATAACCATATACTAGTTACAAAATAAGCAAAAAAAATTTTAGCAAAAAAAGAACAGACACAAATTTTATTTTATTTTTTGAGAGAGACCAAGTGAGCAAGGGGCAGAAACACAGAATCCCACAAAGCGCAGAGAGATGGAGACAGGGAGAGGGAGAGAAGCGGGGCTCATCCAAGGCAGAACTCAAACTCACTAACCTTGACACCATGACCTGAGCAGAAGTCAGAAATTTAACTGACTGAGTCACCCAGACACCCAGATGCAAATTTTAAATTAAAAAATTAAAACTGAAAAGGACCTGCGTATGAGATCATTTTAACCTAAATCATTTATTTTATAATTTTGTACTTTTAAACATTGCTACAAAATGTATTTGAATAAACCTAAAATTTTCTAATTTTATATATTAACTTCATTGAATTATATACCAGTTTTCTACTTTTATTGTTCTTCCTGCAACTATTTTTTTCCATTATAAACTTTTAGATTTTAACATATTTAAATTTAAACCACTGCCACTTATGTATGTATGTATGTATGTATGCATGCATGTATGGATACTTAAATTGTCCTACCTCTGCTTAGTGGGAGCCCATTCATATTGGCCACGGAATCCTTTTATTCCCTGTATTCTCTGAATTCTTTCCTTGCTTTCTATGACAAGATGTTCCTGCCCTATACCTGTAATTGGCCATTTCTCCAAAAAGCCCTGATTCTTTTTAATCATACTTAAGAGTACACAATCTGATACTAAAGGTAAGTCATTGTATATGTATCTTTTTAAGAGAAATTACATCAGGAGTTCACATTGCTATTTCTAATTCAAATTTAGAATTGTAGGATATTTACTTATTCTGTTTTACATTTCTATTATCTCTCAGAATGAAATTCTGGTTTGTAATGACATTTACAGAATCCTACTACACATAAAAATAGATTTACAGATAGCTTCAGAATGGGAAAATCAAATAACAATAAAATTACTGAAAACAATTTTTTTTTCTCTTTAGAATATATTCTATTAAGGGGCACCTGAGTGGCTCAGTCAGTTAAGCGTCCAACTCTTGGTTCTGGCTCAGGTCGTGATCTCAGTGAGTTCAAGCCCCACATCAGGCTCAGTGCTGCTGGTACAGAGTCTGCTTGGGATTCTCTCTCTCCCCCTTTCACACTCGCGCATGCTCTCTCTCTGTCCACCTCAAAATAAATAAATAAACTAAGGGCACTTGGGTGGCTCAGTCAGTTAAGCGGCTGGCTTTGGCTCAGGTCATGATCTCATGGTTCATGAGTTGCAGCCCCCACCAGGCTCTCTGCTGTCAGCACAGAGCCAGCTTCGGATTCTCTCTCTCTCTCTCTGCTCCTTCCCTGCTCACTCTCTCAAAAATAATAAATTAAAAAAATTAAAAATAAATAAATAAGCTGAAAAAAAAAAGAATATATTCCAGTAAGGATGTAGGAAAAAACAATCCCTTTCCATGGGATGAAACCACCTACTCCATATACTGGTAAACATTTGTTTCATTTTGCTTTCAATTTTCAGCAATTTTTCTTGCTTTGATTTCATTTTATTTACTTTTGCTTTATAATTATGTAAAACATGTACATTATTTCAAAGTCTAATTTAGAAAACCAGGAATATTCAACAAACTTAGCTTGCAATCTTAATCTTGTTCCCTCTACTCTGTTCCTTCCTTCCCGTGCATGTTTATTAGGGGTGGTCATTCCATAATGTTTTAAAATATAAACGTATATATACTTTTTTAGGTAAAGGCAGTCTACTACACACTGTCCTATTCCTTGCTTTAAACACATACACACTCATACACATACATTTACATATATAGCAGACCCAAAAACAAGGAGTTAGGGGTGCCAATCCTAACCCTGCATATAACTTTGGACTCCTGAAAAACATAACTACTAATAGCCTACTGCTAACTGGAAGCTTTACTAATAATATAAAAAGCCAACTAACACGTACTTGGTATGTTATTATGTACCACATACATATTCTTACAATAAAGCAAGCTAAAAAAAAAATCATAGGAGTTTTACAGTATTATACATGTATTTTTTTGAAAAAAGTCCATGTACACATGGACCCATACAGTTCAAATCCATGTTGTTAAAGGGTCAACTGTACTGGAGATCAGCAGAGACACTGCCCAATTATTTTACAGTTATATAGTACTCCACTGTCAGGAGTACTAGGCCCCCAGTTAAGGACATTTGGGTTATTTGTAGTATTGTGCTATCAGAAAAAATTTGGGGTGCATCTGGGTGGCTCAGTCAGTTGAGCATGTGACTTCAGCTCAGGTCATGATTTCACAGTTCATGAGTTCAAGCCTCACATAGGGCTCGCTGCTGTTAATGCGCAGAGCCCACTTGGAATCCTGTGTCCTGCTCTGTCTGCCTCTCCCCCACTTGCACTGGCTCTCTAGCTCTCTCTCAAAAATAAACATTAAAAAAAAAGAGAGAGAGAAGAAAAATTTAGCAAATTTTTGTCAGTTTTTACCTGCGATAGATTTCTAGAGGTCAGACTGTTGGGTCAAAGGGTAAATGGATATCTAACTTTGCTAGATATTATTAAATATTCCTCTACAGGGGCTGTACCATCAAGGTGTAAGAGTACCATTCCCACACAACTCACCAAAGTTGTCAAACATTCAGATTTTTGACCATCTGGTATCTCAATATAGTTTTAATTTACATTTCTCTTAAAAGCAAGGCTGTACATCTTTTCATATGTTTAAAGGCCATTTGCGCATCTTTTTCTCTGAATTCTCTGGTCAGAGCTCATGAAGGTATTTTCAAATCCCCATTTGCAGGTAAGAAATTAAGGCTTTGGACACCTGGGTAGCTCAGTCCGTTGGGCATCTCACTCTTGATTTCGGCTCAGGTCAAGATCTCAGGGTCATGGGATCAAGCCCTGCATCAGGTTCCACAATGTGCAGAGTCTGCTCAAGACTCTCTCTCTTCTCTCTGCCCCTCCCCACCCCAAATAAAAATTAAAAAATTAAGGCCTAATGAGGTTAAGGTACCTGCCTTAAGTAGCAGGCTAGGCACAGTAATTGGCAAACATAGATAGATATATGGTACAGATATTGATAATTATATTTATTCATAAATCATTTAGCCTTTACAGTAATGCTTTGGAGTCAGCATTATCTCAATTCTATAGGATCAGAAGTAACTAGGTGATGACTCTAGGATTTAAATCCAGATTTGAACCCACACACTCCACATGAAGTCACACTTCTGTCTATACTAATAAGGAAACTAAGCAAATAACCTGGCCAGGTGATGCAGCCAAGTAAAGGCAGAGCTAGGACTAGACCACTGCCCCTGTTCCTATAGGCAAGACTGGTTCCTCCATATGTTACCTTTCCTCCAGATCTTACAGTGCCTCTTAGTGAGATTGAATAGGAAACATCTTCTTTCCCCCTACTTGCTTGCACTTCTGCAGTAAAGAAATAATCATAAATTCTTAAATAAATTTAATTAATTCATATCATTGGTGATAAATTATTTTTAACTGATATGCCACTTATAAAATTCAATTAAAACTTTTTAAATCATCAAAAATAATTTAGAAGAGAAAAAAACCATAAATCTCAATGCCTCAGCTCATCACATGAGGTAAAAAATAAGAACAAGAAAAAGTGCATTTAACCAAACTGACTAATAATAATCACAGTTTTAGTAGTAATACCACAAACTGCTCTTATGGTAGGCCAGTGCTGTGTGCTTTATGTATTTAATTTAATTACCTCATTTAATTGCCACAATATCCTATACGATAGGGATTATTATATGCTCTTAGTTCTATGTATTTTTATGTAATTAAGAAAGTGCTATTATTCCAAACACTGGGGACACCTCCCCTAAGCCTAGACTTCCCCACAGTTGCTGGTCTGGCCCTGCTTCAATCTGGGTGATCCAAATCTTCAAGTCCATTAAGGCCATTGGCAAACCTCCACAAATACACAGCCACTGCCTAATTTACTTTCTCTTTTCCATCAGCCAACATATACAGTATGAGAACCTTTCCTTCCCCCTATCATTTACACACCCTACTGGCTTGCCTCTAATCCAGCTCTCCACTTCCTGCATCCCAGACTCTTACACTAAGTTTCATCCGTGAACAACAACTCTCCTACACTGTCCCTCTCTTCTCAGAAAGATTATCCCTGCCACCTCTAGCTTTGGTGATTTTACTCTCAAGTTCTTCAGGAGCAGATGGTAAGGTTTCTGTCCTTTTTGCTTCCCCAAACAGCATCCATATCACTGCTTCCCCATCATCTTATAAATATTCCTGGTCTCTCTAGATTCAGGCCAGTCAGATTTGCCACCCTCTTTCTCTTGTGGTTTTCACCTATTAATTGTTTGGACACTCTCCAAAATTCCCTGCTCTCAGTTTTCCTCTCCATCCCTATTTCTGCCATTGATCTGTATGTATACCCTATACAATAACCTCAGCTCTAATTCCTGAACTTTGTCTTTTCCGACCTTTGCCACTTCATGTCAGTGAGCCACCCCTTAGAACTTACCATCACTGGGAACTACTCCACCTGCAAAATCATTAATTCAACTACAACCTACTACCTATCCTTGGGCTTGCCCTTTTGACCACTCACTGACAACTATTCTTGGATCTCATCTCTACCTCCATTCCATTGGTCCCTCCATAATCTCTGTATTGACTAGCTCTCTGCTGTCTTCATTTTCTTCCCTGTCCAATTTAGATTCCAAGGTGCATCCTTTCATTTTGGTTCAATAAATACTTACTGAAGAAATGAGTCATTGATACCATCATGTTCTTCAGTTCCAATATCCAAGCAACCACTAAGTTCTGCAGTGCACTTCTTTCCATATCCACTTCCACAAAGCACCCATCACTTCTTGTCTTGACTATTAACTAAATTCTCCCATCCATTCTCCACCTTACTGAGGTAACTCTTGAAACTGGACATCTGTTCTCTCCCCTTTTTATTTAAAATCCTTCAATCATGCCCCACTGCTGTTACGACAAAGAACAAAATCCAGAACACAGCCTAAAAAGTGTTGCATGCCTTGGTCCTCACCTAACTCTTCAATCCAATTTTCCACTATCTTGGCCCTTGCTCTCTGCCCTCCAAACAATACAGCAAGCTTCTTTCCACTTCAGGGTCTTCCATTATTTTGTTCTCGCTTTAAGGACACCCTTGTTCTCCTTTCCCATCCAACTTCACCTAGGTTACTCCTGTCCTGCTCCTACCCTGCCCTTACATAGGTCCTCCTGTCATGTTATGCCACCCTTTTTTTCCTTTAAAGCATTTAATACAGTTTATCATGTTTGTGTGATCACGTCTGTTTCTCCACTGGACTGTCCACCCGGACAGGGCTCAATTCTATTTTGCTCACCACCGACTTCTCAGAACAAGGTGCAACACAGAGTTGTGATCAGTAAATATTTGAAATAAACCCCCTTCCATAATGGTGATTCTCAAATAAGCTGTGAAGCTTTTTCAAAATATGCATGCCTGTATGCACCCTGGAAGATCATGATCCAGTCAGTCTGGTACATAACAGCCTGGAACATTTTATTTCACAAGCTCCATACATGATTCTGATGTACAACCAGGGCTGAGATCTACTCTACAAAATCAGACTGTCAAAACTAAAAAAGAACTCTGAAATCATGAGCTTGAACTCATGAGGAAACAGTTATTCCTACCCACTTTTCAGTATATCACCGAACTGTTCTTTCACACAGATTTTCCCTTTTAATTCCTCCCTTTAATTTCTAATTTTACTTGATAAAGTACTTTCACTGATACCCTCAGTGTTTTAATCACAACAGAAAATGCATTATTCACAAACTACACGGATATTTTAAAACCTAGTGCTCAATTACAACACACATTTTAAGTAAAAACTGCTTTCTGTATTTCATTATCATTGTAAGAAAACTCAAACTTCAAAATCATGTCCTCACATATTCCAGGAAAAATCAGTTCTAACATACGTAAACTTTTATTTTCCATATTGAATAATCTGAAACTAGTTTTCCTTGATGAAAGTCAAGGTTATAGCAAACTTAATTTTTCAAAACACCTATAATAGGCACAATTAAAGGAATGAAAGAAGAGAAAAAAAGCACTGACTTTCTCTTTTTCATAAACTATTCACATAATCATACTATTTTTATCTGGAGTACTCAGGATCTCAAACTATTTGGGGCCTACACACTTCTAGTAAGTATTTTAACTTCTTGTTTTGGCTATTTCTGTAACCAAATTAAGTGAAAATTTCCAAGAGATTTCACAGAGTAAAAATACCCCTTAAATAATCTGACTCAGTTCTTTCATTTGACAAACATTTATTCCGATCTACGAAGTGCAAGGCTCTGTAACACTGCCAAGTAGGTATTATTGGGGTCCAAATGAAGCAACTGACAGAAGAGCAAGTGCAGTTTTAGAAAAAAATAATAATAATAAAGTGGGTGGAGGTTTCAAGCTTCACAATAGAACTGCAAAGACACAGCCTATCCCATTCAAGAAACTCCAGCACGTGGCAGGGCAAACAACTGCGCAGATGGTTCCAATCTCTAAATTTAAGTAAGGAGTATTTTTTGACTCCCAACTATCTGGCCCTATCTCTATCTCTGTGCATTCTCTTTCTTGAACTTTTTTTCATTTACCCATTCATCGAACCGTAATTTATTGTACAGGCCGCCACTGTAGGACGTTGCTGGGAACAAGACAGGTAAGGCGCCTGACTTCCTGGAGCGGGAGGAGGTGGGGGCACTGCGAGAGAGGATAAATACACGGGGCAAGGTAGTTTGGGATACGGACAACAGCTGGGAGTAAAAACAGAATGAGGCTGAGGGAGACTTTGCACCTCATGATCCCCGTGCTTCAAAGCATTAACATCATTCTAGGAGTTCTCATGGCACTTAGTATCCTGAATTGTAAATTCCAGTAGACTCTTTGTAGCCCCAACTATGTGAGCTACTAGTAATCTGAAAACGGTCTTTTTCCTCTGCCTTAGCACATAAACATGCGTTAATTAATACGTATTAACACTACGGCCGTATGTTAAACGAACGGATGAAACGGTAGAATGAATGGACCCACACCAACTTAAAGACACTTTCTACGGTCAAGGAAGCAGGAGATTCGCTCCCGAACCCTCATTAAGCCACAGGTTGTACATCGCAGGGACAACAGTCCCCAGCCGCAGTTGGGGTTCCAGCACCCATCGCCCCGGGGCGCGACCACTACGTCAACAAAAATACCAGCCGCGGCGCAGGGACACGCTCCTCGGCGAGGCTGCCGCTAACCTGGCTTATCCGCGCCAACGCCGCGGGGCCCGGCTGCGGAGTTTCGGGGCCAAGAGTTTGGAAGAGGGGGCCACGCGCCCCAGCTCGCCGGCCCCGCTCCACCCCTCAAACGGATTTCTCTCCCGCCTCCCTCTTAACTCCGTCGGCGCCGGCGGGAGCGCGGCTGGGAAGGCCTCCACCCAGCTGCCCGCGCCCAGCAGAGGCCCACGGGGAGGAGACCCCAGCGGCCAAACGGAGGGAGAGCTTTACGTTTTCAGGGGAGGGCGTCCCTGGGAATACTCACCCCAGCGCCTCCAAGGTGTCCAACACGTCCCCTTCCATCGTAGGTTCGGGACCCGACTCCGGCCCTCTCATGGTCCTTGGGCCCAACGCTGTTCGGCGCTCTAAGAAGCCCGCCGGAAACCTGCGTCACGGCGCCAAAGTTCCGGGTGGAGTCTCCGCCAGGACTGCTTAGGAGCGCCGCTGAGTGGGGGCGTAACCGTTCCGGCCGGAGGCAATCGGAGCTCTGTGCCTGAAACCGCTTTACGTAACAGTGCGAAGTTTTTTTAATTACGGTAAATTATAGTAATAAAAAGATTTCTTTGTGCTGGCTCTTTTCTGTGTTGACATCAATCTTAGGAAACATCGTGATTCTACCCAAGTTGTTCTCAACCTATCAGACTCCAGACCTTTTAGTAACAAAAGTCCTGAAATGAAATCATTATCTGGAGTAAAACTGGTATATAATATTACGTATCAACACCTATATTTAAATCAGTATGCACGGCAATGCTCCGACTTTGAAGAAGAAATAAAGGGAAAGTAATGTATGACAATATTGGTACACTGTGAAAGGTAGGTCAACGAAGTAATAGGGTGCTTGTTTCTATCTGTAGAAACCTCTTAAACACACATACGGAGCATGTGTTGTGTAAGAAACAAAAATACCAAAGGCAAAGTAGGGTAGATGATGTGATCTTCTAAAATTGTGACTGACTCTCCATAAAGTCCCCCAAAAACAAAACACTATTCCTTCTATGTACTATTCATGGAGAATTCGGTCTCTATGTAAACCACGCAAAAAAACATTTTAGGGTTCATATGTAAAATAGAGTCGGATATAGGGTAAAATCATTAACAGTTATATCACCTACACGAATATCCATCGGGACTATGGAAAGTTGTGCGAGACACATTAACTATTGGCCCTTGTGAGGTAATGTCGCTGCCTTGCATAGCGTCGCTTGCCCCAGTCCACTAAGAGTAATGCTCTTACCTCTCTTATTGCTACAGATAAAAAGCTTACCCATAAAATTGTAAAACTCTCTGACGGTCACTTAACCATATATTTGAATCAATTTCAATAATGACTGATCTACCATATATCCCAGGCTTAAATATAAAATTACTTGCAGTTGAATGCATTGGAATTCATCTCTAAATCAGAGAGAGAGAATGTATATTCTGAGGAGTTATTGCCTCCCTCAAAAAGGTGCAGAGTCATACAAAGTACTGTTTTTAGTAATCTTGGCCAAAAAAAGTGGCTATTAATGTCATACAGAAATGAGGTAACTGTTCTTTATTAATGTTGATCTTGAATGTTCTGCTATTTTTTCTTTAAAGTGAGGCACTGAAAAAAGATTAAAAATACAAGAAAAAAGATGTGACAGATATATGGAAAAAGTAAAAGGGAAGATGCAGAAGAGAGTCTAGACTCATTCTTAGATCACATTACCTGTAAATATTATTAATGAAAAAAGATTAAAAATTAATTATCTAAGTGTGAATCTCAAGAAGCTGAAAAACAAAGGAAATTAAATCCTCAAAAACAAAAAGAAATAATAAAGATAAGAGACATCAATGACAGACATCATCAAAATGGGAGAAAATAGGGAAAATTAAGCCAAATTTGCATCTTTTTTGCAAAAAACAATAATACTGACAAATCTTTAGCCAAGTTGATCAAGAAAATAAAAGATGATGACACAAATAACCAATATCCAAAATGAAAAAGGGGACATCCTTACTATTCATCAGACAATAGACAGTTAATAAGATTTCAGGAACAACTTTATGCAGACAAATTTGAAAATTTAGATGAAATTGATACATTCTTTGAGAAACAATTTAAAAGAAATAATACAAGGAAGAACTTAAATATGAATAGTTCCATGTCTATTAAAGAAATCAAGCTACTAATTAAAATCACTGAGGAAGAACACTTCAGACAAATTCCTACACTGGCTTCTGATCAGTTTCTCTGTTGAACAGTGTCCTCTTTTCTAGAGAGTGTTCAGTAACTATTTGTGGAATGAATGGAATGGACCATAGTAGAACAGAACCACAGTATTCAGAGACACATTGTTATTTGATGCTGTGAATATTCTATAATTTCTGGCCCAAATATCACCTATCAGAAACTATTAACTTCTGGAAATTCCTAAATTTCATTCAGTTTAGTTTTATGCTAATGACATCAGTAGTAGTTTAGGGACATGATTAGACAACTACTGATTGGTTTGATTAGAGAGAGGAAATGCTAGTCCTTGAACTCAGGACTGATTATATAATGTTGTGCACCCAGATAGCAGGGTACCTGGTAGCTCAGTCGGTGGCTCAGTCGGCTCAGGTCATGGTCACAGTTTCTAAGTTCGACCCCACATCAGGCTCTGTGTTGACAGCTCGGAGCCTGGAGCCTGCTTCAGAGGCTGTGTCTCCCTCCCTCTCTGCCCCTCCTCTGCTCCCTCTCTCTGTCTCTGTCTCTGTCTCTGTCTCTCTCTCAAAAATAAATATTAAAATTTTTTTAAAAATTAAAAAAAAAAAAAGAGGGGCGCCTGGGTGGCGCAGTCGGTTAAGCGTCCGACTTCAGCCAGGTCACGATCTCGCGGTCCGTGAGTTCGAGCCCCGCGTCAGGCCCTGGGCTGATGGCTCAGAGCCTGGAGCCTGTTTCCGATTCTGTGTCTCCCTCTCTCTCTGCCCCTCCCCCGTTCATGCTCTGTCTCTCTCTGTCCCAAAAAAATAAATAAACGTTAAAAAAAAATAAAAATAAAAATAAAAATTAAAAAAAAAAAAAGAATCTCAAGATACCAAAAGCAGAGCATTAAACCCAGAGTAGAACTCTGGTAAGGGCAGGTTTGGTGCAACTGCACAGGTCACATGCCCATTAAGTTGGCCCTTCTTGTACCATCCAAAGGCAAAGAGGAGTTTATGAATTCCAACACTGAACTGCTGGAGGCTCTACAGCAAAAACTACTTTTTTGCATCGACCCAGGAACCTATCTCACTGATCTCAATACAGACTGATATATTCAGAAAAAAATATTCTGTGTTCAAACTTATCTTCTGGACCAAGGAAACTACCTCTACCTTACTAGTTGCCAAGAATGCGTGGGCCCTCCTAGACTGTATGTGTAGAAAGTCAGAGCTTCTATTGAGCATCATACAAACTAGAGAACAACAGTAGCCATACACTCTTCTTGGTACCAGCTCTGTGGATTCCTCAACAACAGAAACAGGACTCTAAGGAGGTAGAAATGTGAGGCTGTACCCTTGACCAATATATAGTTACCATGCAAAGGATTTGAAGCGGTATACACAAAGAAATATACAGCAAGGGCTCCCCATTCACCTTTCCTAACAAATTCAAGTTAGACATGCATGCCTTCTCCATGCTTTAAAGTAACTGGTCTCACTGTCAGTCCAGGAGCAGGGTCATTTGGTCTAATATTATCCCATCTTCCTTGTGAGAATGAGCGTGACATAATCTTTATCAGTATGAAATAAGGGGGAAGTGTCACGCCAATAAAAGGATATTATATTTGTAAACATATATGAACCCATCATAGGATCACCTAAATGTATTAAAAAAATATTAACAGAACTAATATACATACTTTGTGGTATATACAAAGAAAAATACAGCAAGGGCTCTAAGAATCTCTTGAGGGATGTTTATAAGTAATGCAATGTATACAATTTATTTGAACGTTTACTATCCTTGAAATTAGGAGGGGAGAACATTTGGAAAACACACTGGCGTTTGAAATAAGATCCTTCAGTTTGCATAATAGAACCCAGGATTTGAGATGGATGTTGGACTTGAACTGACCAAATGTCTGGAGGTGGGAAGTTATACTAGTTCTATGCATGGCACCACATGTAATATGGTGCAACTCAAGCCAGACCTTCAAGTTGGCAGCTGGAACTTAGTGCACCAAATGGCTTTTTAAGTGGATACAGCAGGTACCTCCTTGCACCTAGGACTAAATATTCTGTTTGAATTATACTATCTTCATGTGTAGGAGAAGGCTCAAGTTGGAAGAGGCATTATTGTGAACCCCAGAGAAAAAAGGTGTAGTCCCCATTTAATGCAATATTATGTATGGTACAGGCTTCCAGTTACAGAGTGAATAAGTGATATGAATAAAGATACAGCAATAGGGAATATAGTTAATGATAATGTAGTAGTGTTGCATGGTGACAGATGGTAGCGACATTTGTGGTGAGCACAGCATAAAGTATAGAGATGATGAATCACTATGTTGTATACCTGAAACTAATGTAACGTTATGTGTCAACTATACTCAAAAACATTTTTAATATTATGTACAATAGAATAAACTGATTGCTGTAACCATCTCAAAATCTCAGTGAATTAAGTTTATGTCTACCTGTGTCATAGTTCAGTGAAGTGTTTGCTGGGAGGGTATGACATATTATATTCCCAGAGATGGTCGTGACAATGTCACCAGTACCATATTATCTTTGGCAAAGTGGCTTTGCCATTGCCACAACAAGAAGTAGTTTATTCCCCCATTGAATCAAGGCAGGGCTAGTGGCTCCTTTAATCAATAAAATATGCTGAAAATGATGCTGTGCCACTCCAGGTAAAGTCCTTAACTTGTCAACTGCTTCCATTTCCTGCCTCTTAGAATGTACACTTTCAATATGGTTCCTTTTGGAACTCAGGCACAAGGCCAAGAGGTTCTTGAGCCACAGAGGGGCCACATACAGGCACTCCAGTTGTCATCCCCAGGGGGGTAACCAGCAGATAGCCAGCCTCAGCTGTCAGCGTGAGTGTACCTTCTGGTCATCCATGTCAGTTGACCATCAGATGACCATGGTCTCAGCCAACAATTGCCTATAATTGCATGAGAGATCTCAAGTGGGAACCACCAGGTAAGCCCATTTGTTATGGCAGAATCATAACAAATAATAATACACTGTTGTTTAAGCCAATATCCTTTGAGGCAGTTTACTATGCAGCAGTAGCTAACCAAAACAATGATTTTCTATGTAGTAATTCAGGGACCTGAGATTCTTCTCAAACTCTGCTATTTTGATAAATGGCAACCAAAGTCTACATAGAAATGAAA